AATCAATGTCATGTCAGTCACTGATGTCCACTGTGCTCTCAGCTTCTCATCTATGCGTAAGAAATAAAGCTGAGGCCATAGGACACAGCCATAATGACAAACATTTGATTGTAGAAACTGTTGCACGTCAGGTATTTCTATTTGTATACCACCAATTCACAAAAAGCTCAGCCTCGAGATGCTTTAAATCCTAGAGCAGCAGTCCCCAACCTTTTTTGTGCCACGGACCGGTTTATGCCCAACAATATTTTCACGGACCGGCCTTTAAGGTGTCGCCGATAAATACAACAAAATAAAACTAGTACCGGTACCGAAAAAAGATTTATTCATAACACACGTGAAAAGACCCAGGAAAACAAAGTTAACGATAAAAACGATAACAGAATAACGCTGAAAACCAATAAAAACCCTGAAAACCATACATTTCACACCTAAGCCTCAACTCTCGCGGCCCGGTACCAGTCCGAGGCCCGGGGGTTGGGGACCGCTGTCCTAGAGTATTGGATTGAACTCTTATTTGCTGCCATGTCAAATCTTTAATTAGAAAAGTAACTTATTAGCAGTAACCCTGGCAACAAGCCTGTACAGGAAGTAACTAACAAAATGTTGTTTAAACACTATGTGTCTTCATTGTTTGTGTTCTGTTGCAATTTCCATTTAAAAGCACACTAACACACCAAAGTCACAAGAAAAACTTTCCTACTCTGGCAGTGGGACCATCTGAAGTATAATAGACTAAAGTAGAATCAACAATATAGTCTGTAGGCCATCATTTACATCATGCTTGTCTCTTCTTTTTCTTGTTCATCTCACACACATTATCATGCTTCTTCTTGTTCCCATCTCCCAGGTTGACAGTGCGGAGTTCATCCATTGCAAAGAGGTGGTGGACGAGTACCTGCACAGCCTGGAGTTCTCCCTGACAACCAACGCAGTCTACATTTTCAACAGCACTCAGATCCAGGAGGAAGAGCGAGCCCAAAGCCCCACGCGGCACTTACGAGAGTCCGGGAGGGACCGGGGCAATGGACAGCAGGGGGACTCGGACGAGTATTACGACGGATTCAGAAATCTCTATAACGAGGAAGCGACTCCCGGGGCAGAGGGGAGCAATCGCGATGATTCGTTTGAGCAGGAGGACATCTCGTCGTGCCCCCCACTGCACCCTGCTGTCAACTAGGAGGACATTTTATTCACACCGTCCACCTTTCGTCTACAAGGACATTGTGGGACCCAGATGCTCCTCGCTAACCATAACATTTCAAGATTTTGTTTTTCCTAAAAGATTTGGCTAATGTAAAATTTAGTATTATTTTAGTTTCTTCTTTGCACTTGTCCTCATTGACTCTGAAGGTGTCAGGATTTTTTGGGGGGTCTTATTCTGATCTTGTGGCTTGTTCTTGGCAGCTGAGCTGAAGCTGTGGGGAATCACTTGCGTTACCAAAATTAGATTTGAATGTTTCTCTTTAGTGCAAAGTTACTGTTCTACCTGTAAAGGCCTTCTTCCCCTTACTTTACAACCTTCTTTTGGTTCACATCAACTCCAGATTTTTTGGGGGGTGTTTGTTTTGGGGTTGTTTTTTTTTTGTTTTGTTTTTTTTGTTTTTTTTAGGCCTGTTTATTTGCTTCCTTTCCAAGTTTGACGGTGCCCCCCCTCCCGAGCCACATAGCACTTTGATATTTAAAAAAAAGCTTTTTTTTCTTTTTTATACAAATAATTATATATTTTTAACCTCTTTTTATTATTTTAATCTTAACTCTACTAAAGTTTTCCAATTTTGTTAAATGTTTATTTACCCTTTTATTTAGAAAAGTTACATTTTTACTTAAAAGCTTTATTTCATGACTTAATTATGCAAATGTTTTTATTAAATTAAGTTGCAGCCTGAGTTGGTTTAAATTATGCAGCTGTTACATATCATATCTGAGTACCTTTGGGAGATTGATTCAACACTAGAGCAGAATAATAAAACAATGGTGATTTTTGACGGCATGAGATTATCTGATTGATGATGCAGCATCAGTGATAAATTAGCAATATTTTTTTAAATTATGTACTGTATGATAATCTGAGGTTGACCTATGGGATTATTCTTTCCTCTGATGTGTAAACTGATGAAGGCTGATGGATGGGAACGCAGCGTCTCTTGAGGAACTTTACCTCCACCGCTCTACCAATGCTGGAGAGACTGATCTTTGATTTTATATATTTATTTTTGTTTAGGTGGCTCAAATTGTGTTCAGTCTCAGTAACATGACTTCTAATGTGAACAGGTTATTTTCTCATTTGTAAAGCCTGCTTTGATTCATCAAGTCGATCTGAACCAAGCAACACATATTCCTTCAGGTACTGAGGCAGCTATATCTTATTGTCTACCATAGAAATAAAGCTATGATTTCAACAAATAAAAATTCATTTCCTAATATTTTGAATGTTTTTGGTTTTTACTCAATTTTTGCTTGATATTTAGAGATTTTGTCAATTACTGCATACGAGGATCAAGTAGTTGGGATGGGGGGGGGTCAACAAAAAAATCGGAAAAGTCAGTGACACTAAAAAGAAACAGGTGGTGAAACATTTTATAGCTAATATAACTGCATCTACAAACTGTGGAATAATGTTCCTCAACATAAAATTGCAAATATTTCATCGCCTACAGTACATATTATCAAAGGATTTAGAGAATCTGGAGAAATCTCTGTGCGCAAGGGAGTTTGCTTGTAGTTTGTCCATCCACAAAATCTGAGCTCACAATCAGTCATAAGTAGGTTAAAATAAAAACAAAACTATCTAGTCAAACCCCTGAAATACATCATACATCTCAGCAGCTATCACTTATCTGTCACTGGCTTTGATGTTGTGTCTCAGTCCAAGTATGTACATGGAGGCTGTCAGGGTGATTAGCAGGCAGCTTTGTTGGCAGTGTTAGTGTACTACAGCACAGAG